GTTTTCAATTTTTCCTTTAAATAAAGAAAAAGTGGAAAATAAGAATCTAAAATAAAAGATATAGAAATTTAAAAAGTGATTGAATTGAACATCCATTATCATCATATGTCTAATGTCTAAACAAGCGGTAAAGTCTCAAGTAAAAGAAAAGTGCAAGGCAGAGCTCACGCAGGCAGAGTCACAAAAATAAAACGCCTCTCCTGGGAATCGAATCCGCAATATCTGCGAAGAAAGATATTAGAGCTCAAGCAGCATCCCACCGTCCAGGGTGGAGACAGGGAGGGGCTGGAGGGGGCCTCGGCCCTGCAAGAAAAAAATTCTTAAGTATATATTATGTAGAAATACTTTTAATTTATTGAAAATATGTTGATATTTTAAACTTTGGCCCCTGCAACGTAAAACCTTTAAGGATCGGCCCCCTTAACCATAGATTTCTGGCTCCGCCACTGCCACCATCCATTTGGACGACCAGAACACCTATGCACATTAAGCCACCGGGGCTTTAATATATACTCCCGGTTTTTATTAAACTTCACTCTTTGACTTCACACAAAATAAGGAAAGAAATTTGACTTTACTGTAGAGTACACTGTTGAGGCACTGTATGGCACTGTTGAGACACTGTTTGGCACTGTTGAGACACTGTTTGACACTGTTTGGCACTGTTTTGATATAGATTTCTTTGCCAAAAAAGGAAATAAGGAAATGTGAAGTTTATTTTAGACCGTCCCAAAAAGGAAAGTGTGAAATTTATTAAAAACCGAAGGGAGTACAATTTTACAACCGGACCGCCGGAAAATGGGGGGCGCCGGAGATATACACATATATACACTACCGCCTCCGGAGAGGGGGCGCCAGCACTGGCTAGCCCCCTAGTTCCACCACTGCCCTTACCTCACCGTAGGTGAGAGGCTTTGCGGCACTAGGCTAATGTTGTTGTGGTTGCTCAAATTCGCCCCCGTAGTATTTAAAAAAATCAATTAAGCCTCCAAACTAAAACAACACCCAATTGAGACCTCAAACTTTACACAAACATTAATAATCGGTCAACCGGTCACTTGCCTACATGCCTTATTTTATAATTTTTCGTTGGGAAAAGTACGGAAAAGGTACTTGTGATGCGACCCGATTTCATATATGGTCATGTGTTTCATTCTTTATCAAAGTAGTTCATGTGTTTGAATTCCGTTATCACAAGAGGGTCACGCCGTTAAAAACATCTGAAAAAGACCATTAAAAGTAACTCCGATTTTCAAAAGTGCCCGAAAAAATTAAAAGAAAATTATTGGAAGATGCGCCTCAATAAGACGACCGCTAGGCCATCTTTCTTTTTTTGTTTTGAGTCACCCTTTTCCCTAAACTGAGCTCATCAGATCGCTGGCGACTTGGGAGGAAGTGCTCTTGAGCTTCTTCGTCGGATCGAAAGTGCTAGGGAAGGGTTTTTTTTGCAAAGGAATGTTATTTCTAGTGTGTTCCTAGCTCAGAAACTACAAAGGAACATGACATTTGATTAGTTCTTTTATTAATTTTGAATGTTAAGATCTTTTATACTTTTAGAATAGAAATATTTTAAATAAAAATGTGTAGTTCCAACTCAATAAATCTTATCTTAAATATTTGACCAATGCGGCAATTTTTTATTCGCTTCACATCCTCTAAAAATTCCAGCTACGTTTACCTCTTTACTTTCTTACTATAACACTTCCCAGGTTACAAATCCACCGTTAATGTTGACAAGTATGACTTGGACAGAAAATCATCCTGATACCTCGTGTTCATCAACATGGCATCATCCAATAATGTAATGAACCCTCCTATATCTTCACACCAAATACATTGACCACAAATGAATTTTCTTCCACGCAAGCAGCATCTATTAAACATTGGTTCAAAGGTCAAGGTGCTTCTGATTCCCTCACGAAGAAATGACATGGAATCACCATAAAGGAGGAAAAATTGGAAAATTGGAAAAGAAAAATCATAATGCATAGCATGAGCTCGGCCTAGTATGACCTCTAGCCTGAGATCGGCCTAGTATGACCTCTAGTATGAGCTCGGCCTAGTTAATTATCTAAATAATTATTTGATTAATATATTAATAGAAAAATCATAATGCATACAAACTAATTCTCCTAATCTACTTCACAGTTATGTATGAGCTAGCATGAGCTCGGCCTAGTTAAGTATCTAATTAATGACTTGATTAATATATTAATAGAAAAATCATAATGCATAGCATGAGCTCGGCCTCGTATGACCCCTAGCATGAGATCGGCCTAGTATGAACTCGGGCTAGTTCAATTAATCTAGTTCCCACTTATGTATGAGCTAGTATGAGCTCCGCCTATTTGATTAATATATTAATAGAAAAATTATAATGCATAGAAACTAATTCTATTTATCTACTTCCTAGTTATGTATGAGCTAGTATGAGCTCGGTCTAGTATAAGCTCAGTATTTTTCCGAACTCGTAGTTTCCCTCGTCCAGTTGATATCCGAGCTCGATGTTTTCCCGACCTCGGCCGAAGTAACCTTTTTACTGGGATTTGATGTTTTCATTGGCCGAAGTAACCTTTTTATGACTACTAATCATGGAAAAAAAAATATGACGTATACATATGATGTTTCTTGCAACTATCGTTTACTTGTTGTATTGACTATTGCATGTTTTTTTCAGTGGAGGAATTGATCTTCGTTGATTTCTCCTCAGGGCCAACGTGTTCTCAAACTGATGAGAAGAATCCAAGTCATAGTTAGTGGTGATGGATGAAGTTACTGTAATTTCATCGGATCGATTGGTGCAGAGTCGCAGAGAGCATGGGAATACAAATCAAAGCACCAGATGACTTTACTTAGGGCTGTTAAATCATGTCTTAGAATGCTTCCCTTAATATTGAATGTCTTTTGCTAGTTATCTCAGGAATGTATTAAGGGAGTGTTTGCAATTGCTTCAACTTTAAAAAAATGATTTTTTAAAGTGATTTTGGGAAAAGTGATTAATAGTAAAAGTGGGTAGTGTTTGAGAAAAAAGTGATTCTGGAAAAGTAAAAGTTAGTAGTGTTTGGTAAAATAAGTACTTTTTGTGTAATAGAAAAAGTGAGAAGCAGTTTAAAGCACCCTTCTACCTGCTTCCAGCTTTTAGCTTTTAAGTGATTAATTTAAGAAGTTGTCATTTGAAAACACTCTTTTCAACTTTTTTAAGCCAAAAGCTGAAAAGCGCTTTTTTTAAGCAAACCCAAACACTCCTAAAATCATAGTGTCTGTATTCAATATGGGTATTGGCCATAGACTGTCTTGCTTTGCTAGTTATCTCAGAATGTATTATATCATAGTGTGTGTCTTCTATATGGGTATTGGCTAGTGCTTTAGCGGTATTGGTTGATATCAACTAGGATTACCAGGAGAAAGTTTTCCCACTTTCAGGACATTTGGATAACTGAAAAAGAAACGATGCCTCCCAGTTTGGAAAATGAGGCTCATCTCCAGTTTCGTAATACAACCATTGCCAATACATTTCATGCAATTGTCATCCGACAACTACAGGTGGAACCAACCCCAATTCTGGGACTTGACCAGATCGAAAACTGGCAGATTTTCTTATACAACACCATTGCCATCTGACCACCCTGGTCATGGGTTGGGAAGTTGGGCTCACTTCCAACGTTTACAACTAAAGTGGACTGGCCTATTCTTTGACTTGATCCGATCGAGATGGCCAGTTTCCGCCTGAGACAGAACTGGTTTTCCTGAGCCGTACCGGGCCAAATCTGGTCTGATTTCTCCAAAATAGGCCCCCAATGGTTCTGGACATGCATATTTGAATGCACTAAAAGTGACTCGGGATCAACCAGATCGAAACCAACCAGGAACCGGAATGTTATAACTGTTTTGCTTCTAGTCCCTCCACATGACAAACTGAGTCAATCACTGGTAAGAAGTAACAACCATCGCCACCATCACCGCAACCAGCGAGGAAAAGGACAAGATTATAAGATGGTGATATTAGAATTTTATCCCACTAATCACATTCTTCAAAAAGTCTCAGTAGGAAGAATAAATGCCCTGAAAACTGAAATGCTTTATGACATTAGGCCCTGTGAAAGCAACTCAAATATCATGACAGTGACTCCAACATGATAAACTAAGCCAAAATATCACCCCATCAACAGAGGCGTGTTCAACAATCATCAACATCCTACATCCCCAACACCACCATCGTACCATACCCAACCAATCGATTTGAGGCAATAATACAATGATAGGATGGTGAAAAGCGAACTGATTTTTACTTTGTTGAGCCTTATAAGTCCATTTGAGCTTTGCCGCAAAGGCTCCCACCTACGGTGGGGTAAGGGGGTGAGATGTATGCAGCATCACAGCTAGGGGTGGACCGGTTCCGGTTCGGGCCCGGTTCGGGCCTGGGCCCAGCCGGGCCTCAGTTCAGAAAAAGGAGGCCCGAGCCCGAACCGGTGGTGGGCGGTTCCGGTTCCGGGCCAGAACCGGGCCGGGCCGGGCCGGGCCACCCGGAATGTTTTTTTTTCTTCTTCTTCTTCTTCTCTTATTTAACCCCCTACCCCTCCACCCCAAACCACCCCAAACCACCTCAAATGGCCCAAAATACCTAATCCAACCCAAAACTTAAAAAAATTTCAAAAAAAAAAAAAAATTAAATTCCGGCCCGAACCGGGCCCGGCCCGGCCGGGCCGGTTCACTAAACTGGAGGCCCGGGCCCGGACCGGTATACAACCAGGCCGGGAGGCCCGAACCGGAACCGAACCGGTTCACCGGGCCGGTCCGGGCCCGCACAGTAGCGGGCCGGTCCAGTTCCGGGCCGGTTGGCCCGGCCCGAGTCCATCCCTAATCACAGCCTTACCAAACTGTATAAATTATCAACTCAGCAATGACATGAAAACTTGTAGCCAATCAAGGTATCTAACAAAATTGAAGATATTGGCACCTAATGTGACACACACGTAGATCAGCTGGGTACAAGAACTTCGAGCAACCCATGTTATTAGACAATTAAGCCAACATAAAAGAGGGTTCCTAGAAATTTTCTTAGTATCGTGCATGTGCATATTATTTAACTGCATAGTTTAGCTAAAATAACACATAGATAAATAGATTCATGGAGTGGTGGTGTTCTTTTGCTCTGCATCTTTGAGATCTACCACCAGGCCGTTCCAAATGCTGGCATAGGCGACGCTAAAGTAATGTGCGCTACACATGTTTAGGAATAAAGCAAACCTGGCCCAGAACTCAGCCCGGCCTAGTACTGTGTAGTCCTGGCCCAGCTCGGTTGAGCAGGACCAGGTCCGGACCCATAAGAATAATTGAATAAATAGGCAGGCTACAGCATTGGAATTTACTGGACCAGGCCGACTGGGAAGAGGCAGGTCCGGGGACAATGGACAAATATTCAAAAAAAAATGGGTTTGGACCCTTGGGCTAGGACAGGTCAGCCTGACCCAGTACCAGTACATACCCGGTCCAGTACTGGGCTTGATTATTTGGGACCCAGAGCCCGCCAAGTCCCAGCCCGAAGCCTGCCCGGACCCAAAGCATGCTCAGACCCGTCCCAGTCCATGCCTACTAGCAGCAGCTTGCAAGTCAGACAAGTCTTTATTCTTAAAATCCAGAGCATGCGCGGACAACTGGACAAGGCATCAAAACCCAGGTGCTACTGGACAAGTGCATTCTGGTTAGTTTTGGGGTCAATGAATAAGTCTAGACTTGTCACTTTTTGTACTTGTTGCGATGGAAAGAGAGAGATGTGGCTGTAATAGTATTACGTAAGTAGCATGATATAGAAAAGGCTAACATTAAGAAAATGCTCAAGTATTCAATAAGAAAATTAAATATAAATACTACAAGCAAAACACATAGTATCAAAAATCATTTTCAGAAAATGATATCATAGGTGGCAGGCAGGTAACATCCAAAATGAGGTAAACAACAGAAAAGAAAAACCAAGCACATAAACCTCATGCTTCTAGATTCATTTAAGAAATGCTCATTCCTCATCTTCTTCATCTCCATCACCACCAGCAGCCTTCTTTGCAGCTGCCTTCTGGTTCTTTCTCTTCACTCTTCCTGGACGACCACCACCGAAGGGACTAGACAGTGAGAAATCAATGTGTTTCTGTGAGTCCACCCTGACCATAAAGGATGGAACATTGACAACCTGCCTTCCAACTCTGAAATACAAAAGTAAGATTAAAAAACCCATACAAGAAAAATAATGAATAAAACCAGTGACATTTAAAACCAAGCAAGAATTTATATTATAAATGCATCTTCATCCATTGACATTAGGAGATTGGAGATCACCTGCAAATGTATACTGTGACTGATGCAAATCTCTGTGCTATTGATTTCTAACAACAAAACATGCCAAGAAATGAAGTATAATACACCACAAATGCACTAAAATAGAAAAACTTAGAAAACCTTAATGCAATCCATTATCTAATAAAACAGATTGCATATACGTTGCTTTTAATGGCTTGAATTTATGGCAATTATTGTATCCTTTTTCATTAATCGTTTTTAATCATTTGAAACTTCAGCAAAATTCAAACAAACAAAGTTGTATGAAAAATAAAAGAACACCAGAAATTTAAAAAGGCACAAATCAACTGATAATTGTTGTATAGTGAACAATTTAACATTCGTCATAGAAATTAAATTTTACCGGATGTGCTTCTGCCTAATGAGAACTCTAGCATGATGGATTGACTTGGCCATGCCAGCCTTGAAAACTAAAGTCTGTAGACGGCGCTCAAGGAAATTCTCAACTGTGAGGGCAAGCACATAATCAAGCTTGTTTTGGCTCTCATCCAGCAACCCATACTGATTCATCCTCTTCAGAAGAGCATCACCCTGAAAAATACGCTTTGGGTCCTTCTCATCAAGGGTAAGAAGCTTCCGTGCATTATTCCTGATACGGCTCAAAGCATACTGGACTCTCCACAGCTCCCGCTTGCACCTGAGACCATACTCACCCACAAGCTTCAACTCAGAATCCAAACGCTCCTTCTCGTATGGGCGACGTGGCTTTTTGAATGTCTTTCCATCTACATTTGATAACATATGAACATATTATTGAGTTTACCATATAACAGAGACACATAGTTGGGTAGTGACAACCAGTACATCCATCCAAACTCAAAATAAGTTAAATTCAGTACCAGTTCAGACTTCAGACTTCAGACTCATGTTCTATATCTACTTACAAACCTATTTTAATGATCAAGTGAAGAGGTAATCATAATCAGTGTTCGTGAGAACTTTCTGTACTACAATTTAACACTAAGAATATAACTTTGATTTTCACAGATCCAACCGTTGACATAAGCACAAGCATCATTGACCACACTCACCGTTAAGAAACATACACAACAAGCATGAACAGATTCTCTCACATGCTACATGTAACAGTACAAGCGATAGGTAAAATGTGTTCCATACAAATTTAATTAGTTGCCAGAAGCAAAAACACAATGGAACTTAAGAATCAGTCTGCTTAAGGTTGTGCAACCCTTTAAATAACATTGGAACCCAGAGGTTATAATCTTAGATGCGGGTTATATAGCATTGCCGTGATATCCCAAAAACCCAGAAAAACATAAAGCAAGTGAAGCTACCACGATATCCCCAAAGATCATGTTTTTAACCTAGATGAAGCTACAATCTCAGACAATCACAAAATTTATGCTCTCGTCGCAACCACACATTTACCCCAAACTTGAATGCGTCAACACATACAGATTACATCGATAGTAAGACAGACGGAAATTATGATAAGGCTTACAATTCCGATAGTAAGAGACGTGCACCATCTCAGGCCAGAGGCTCTAGATTCGGTCGTCGATTCGGTCGATAGTTGTGTAAAGATACCGCAGGTAAGGGCGGAAGGCTAGGGTTGGAAGAGTAGAACTCTATTTACATACATGTGTATATATACGCTCGAGTGTGCGCAGAGTGCCATAATTTTTAGGGAAATGGGCTTTGAACGGAGGTTAGAGCCTTAGAGCTAGTGGACTCGGGTCGGGCCGCCCGGCCTGGTACTCTTTGGGCCCTGCCCGGTACCCGGTCATAGGACCGGTCCGGGCCACCCGAACCGTTAAATAAACGGGGCGGGCTCGGGTCTCCTAAAATAGGAATCGGCCCGGCCGGTTCGGGCCTAATTTTTTTTTTTTCAATTTTTTTTGTTTCTACCGGGTTGGGCTGGGTGTTTTGGGGGGGGTTTGGGGGGTGGGGGTGAGGGGTCGGGGGTTAATTAGAAAATCAAAAGAAAATAAAAAAAATAACATCAAACCGGAACCGGCCCGGCCCAGCCCAGAACCGCTGCCTACCCGGGCCGGTTCCGGTTCTCCCTTCCCAAAGAAAAAGCCAAGCCGGGCCTGATCCGGAACCGGTCCGGGTCCATCCCTAGTCAGAGCTTTAGAATAGGCCCATATTAAAATAATATACTAAGAGGCCGTTTGGTAACACTGTTTTTCGGCTTTATCAGGCTTATCAACCAACTTTTTCACCAAACACGTAATTTTTGCTTTCACGCGCTAGATTGTGTAATAAGCAGAAAAGGTAAGGTTGAAGTTACTTTTCTGGCTGTATTGGTTGAAGTTACTGTGGATGACCATTTTAGCTATTTTACATGTATATTTTTCTTTATTTTATTAATAAAATATATTTTAAAAATAATTTTTCCCTAAGTCAGCATAATCAGCCAATGCAGCCAGAATTCTCCAGTATCCTGAACTCAATAGATCAATGTCACAATTATTATTAATTATATCTCTTGTATGTGTTCTTTGATGTTCGGTATTCATTTGAGAGTTGGAAGGTAGGTCATCAATGTGTCATCCTTTATCGTGAGGGTGGACTCACGGAAACACATTGATTTCTCACTGTCTAGTCCCTTCGGTGGTGGTCGCCCAGGAAGAGTGAAAAGAGAACCAGAAGGCTGCTGCAAAGAATGTTGTTGTGGTGATGGAGGCGAAAAAAGATGAGGAATGATCATTTCTAAATGTATCTAGAAGCATGAGGTTTTAAGTGCTTGGTTTTTCTTTTCTGTTGTTTACCTCTGTATTCGGATGTTACCTCCCACCTTTGATAATATTTTCTTAAAATGATTTTGGATACTTTGTTTTGTTTTGTAGTATTTATATTTAAAATTTCTATTGAATACTTATGCATTTTTGTAATGTTAGCTTTTCTGTTGCTACTATACATGACTTTCCACCGGAAGTACAAAATATGATAACTAGCGGGACTATTCTTTGAACTTGAAACCAACCAGAATGCACCTGTCCTGGAGTATCTGGGGGTTGATGCCTTGAGGAAACATTTTTTGATTTTAGGAAAAAGACTTTTCTTGTATTAGATTTGATAGGTTTGGGCCTGACATTGCAATTTATATGTGGGGCTAGACTCCAACTTTGAATGTCAAGGTGGATATTTCATTACTTTAGTATCGCATATACCCAGCATTTTGAATGTCGAGATGGTGTAAATCTCAAAGATGCAGAAGATCTTTTCTCAAGGCGGCAAGAGGGGGATTGGTTTCTCACAGTTTGTAATCAGTCTTCGTTCTCTGTTCTCATGTTTAACTATGGTTAATAAAAATATTAAGTGGGGAGCTACAATGATCTAAGATTTTAATTTTTTTTTATCATCAAAGAGGCATTCATTCAAAAAAAGCACTCAGAAAGGGGTTGAAATAACAAAAGGACCACAATAACCATCCGCCCGTGGACGAGACTCTGAGTTATTCACTTTTGACAAAGCAATATAACTCTCTAATCCTAAATTGGGCATATTCAAAACCACGACGATTACCGCAGGCCTCTCATCCCCCAATCCAAGTGCAAAAGTCTTACAGCATAAAATAAAGAAGCAACAAAACACAATCAAAATAAAATAAAAACAAAACACAGTCGCCTCAGCAGAAATAGAAATACTCGTTCAAACCCTAGTCGCAGAATTCCTCCAAGGCGGCGGTTCTGGAGGTGGGCGGATCAACATCCCTTCGTCTTCTTTCACACATAGGCCACCAATGAACCCCTGAAATTTGATTTTCCAGTCCGACAGCACGATGTCGACCACCAGAAACTCCATGCTATCACCAATAGCCATCTGTTTTGTCAAAGCTCGTTCCCAAACTGCCGAAGAATAACAGCTCGGCTTCGTCTTCAACATTCTGCAGTACCCCATCTTCCCCTTGCTAAACCCGTCCCCTGCCAAAATCAGAAGCCTCGAACCCTCCTGAAAGCTTCCTCGCTTGTTCGCTGCTCTTGTAAAGCAGAAAAACCAAAAGCTTCGTCCAGACAGAATCCAAATTCACCGCAATTGCAAGTAAAAAAGAAAACAAAAACGAATCAAACAAACCCCGCGATGACAACAAAACTCAATACCCTGAGAAGATATATGAGATAAGTTGCCTACCGGGGAGAGATCGGCCGAACCCACGGCCCGGATAGGCCGTCGCCGTAAAAAACCCTAGGACGTGCCTAGGAGACGACCGTAGCAACTCCTTTCCTCAAGTTGAACTTATAAGATTTTAATTAATACATTCATTCATAATTATATTCGATATTTAGTACCGATTGAGTCCACTAAAAATGTGATTGGCCTGAATGGATTTTTGAGATGAAGTATAAGTTTGATAGGTCAGGTGAGGACTACAAAGATAGGCTTTTTGTTGAATGGTTCAATCAGCACGCAAGTGTGAATTTTGCTTAGACATTTAGTCATCTCTTTATGCCTAACACGGTGCTTGTTGTACTTATCCTTGAAATTCCATATGGTTGGTCTATCCCACAGTTAAGGATGTTTTCTTTTGGACTGTTTTCAGTCCCAGTTCAGACAAACCATACTAGACTTCCGCGGTTAAAATATACACAGAGACCGCAGTTCAAACCAGACCAGCAAATTTCAGTCTAAAAGAAAATATCCTAAATGTATTTTTTTTTTAAATCACAACGAGTGGCTAGGCCTTACCCATTGAAAACAATAAAACAGAAATCAATTCATGATTCTAAGCGAGGGAATTCCAAACACATCCATAAAATAGGCATTATTGGCCCGAACCGGCAAAAGTGAGGAGCAAGAGTAACTTTCAGCTTGGACCTGGTTCTGGATCACGATAAAGTGCGCGGCCCAATTAGCCTCACGCCAAGTAATCGAATAGGAAACTCGTTCCTTATCTATCATCAACACCATTTCCTTGATTTCAACCGACCATCTCCCACCTCCATCTCCAGTAATCAGACTCAACACCTCCCTAGAGTCCATTTCCACCTGAATGTCTGAGAATCCAGAACGGACTGCCTTAGATAAAGCTCGATGTACAGCAAGCAACTCCGTTTCAAGAGGGGAAGAAGCTTGCATCGGGAAGAAGATTGCGCTAACCATGAGACCATCCTGATTCCTCAAAATCGCGCCTCCTGCATATGAGTGAGGTAAAAAACTGACATCCGTATTAAGTTTGTACTTTCGTGTAGGCTTCTTCCATTTAACTTCCATAACCATAAGTTTAGCTAAACGAAGGGATTTAGGAATGAGTTTTTCCTCGTACAAGATGTTATCAATCTTTTGAATTTTTGATGTTGAGAAACTGTTTACCCACATCTGAGAGTATATTTTAATCTGGCGAATAAAATTCTCTTGCGTAGGAAATGAGACCCCATGCCCCCAAATGATACTAGTATACTCCTTCCATATGTGCCAACACACGATCCCTGGAAGGCAATGTTTAAAAATGTCCTCCATAATTTTAGAGTCGGCCTTAATCCACCAAGTAATGAGTACCTGTCTGATTGAAACAGTCTGATAGAGATTAGGAACACCAAGGATTCCCCTAAAATAGTCTCAAATAGGCCTAACCTTTCCACAACTATAGAATATATGATCAGTGTCATCAGAATGAGCCCTACAGAAGGGACAAATAGAAGGATTCAAAACCAGAGAGAATCTCTTCAAATTATCAGAAATAGGAAGAATCTCCCTAAGAAGCTTCCATTGAAAAAGCTTAATTTGTAAAGGTAATCTGGGCTCCCAAACATGTTTAGCTATGAAACTTGCAGGTCGTTCCTCCCTTATTGACTCATAGGCTGATTTGAATAAGAATTTACCATTATCTTCAGGCTCCCAAATAAGATTTCCTTCCAAATTAACACTACACAAAGAGCTAGCCAAATCATCAATACTACAAATTCTGCTCCAAATGGGTGAGTCAGTGATCTTAGGTATCATGTTACTACCTCTAGGATATCTGGAGTTGATAAATTTAGCCCATAAGGAGTCTCTTGCCTTCCATTTCCACCATAGCTTTAGAGTGAAAGCCTTTTCAATGTTTGTTAGACTACGAATTCCCAATCCACCCTCTTCAGTAGGAAAACAAATATGAGACCATCTAACTCAATGATACTTCCTTTTAATATCAAATGAACCCCAAAGAAAAGCTGCCATCTTTCCTTCTAGAATATTGATGACCTTTTTAGGAAGTTTGTCTGCTGCTAAAATATGTAGGGGTATAGTGTTGAGCACATGCTTAACAAGTATTAACCTGCCTCCCATAGTTAAGTTTTTTTGCTTCCAAGTAGAAAATTTTGATTCAAATTTTGTGATTATGTCCAAACAATATTGAACTCTATTGATTCCTTTATGCAGGGGCACACCTAGATACTTGACATTCAAATCAGCTTCTTGCATCCTTAGCAGCAGCAATAATCCCAGCCCTGGCTTTCCTCCCACAAATGAAAGTACTTTTCTGCAAGCTGACTGATTGACCTGAAGCTTGTTGGTAAATTTTAAGAAATCTAGAAAAATTGGCCAAAGATCTGGAACTTCCATTAAGAAAGATCAGA